CCACACCACTCAAGAAGCAAACACACCCTAGATAATGTCACGCAGATTGACAACAGAGCTCTTATTTCCCCAGATTTGGAAGATCCACCCATTTATGGAACACAATTTTCCAGCAACGTGGACTTCTCCCTGCCACAGCACAGGAGTCAGTTAATGTGTAGAATTTTCAGGAAAAATAAGGTGTCATTACCAGTCACATTTTCAAGAAATACTTTATAGAGATTTTGAACTCCTCAATAAAAAGAGCCAAACAAAACCAGAGCAACCTCAACAAAATAAGAACAAAGCGAGCTGTAGGAAGGACAAGGCTGTTAAACGCATGCTGGTACAGAAAGGAGAACCTTTAGACCTCCTGGACTGACACATTAATACAGACTCCTAACTCCTTTAGTGAGAAGTAAAACCATACACATGTAGAGGTCTCTACTGTATCAGGATTATACCCAGAGCTGTTAAAAATTACACAAAATGATACAAGAAGCTACCAAAAAAAAAAAAAAGTAACTTTTCAAATTGAAAAAAAGGACAGATTTAAGGCTATGGTCTGCAATCTGAAAGGATCCTTGGCGAAAAAAAGTTTGCAGAGGGAATTTGTGGGTAGCTGAAGGGGAAAACAGCCCTGCCAAGCATGGAGAATATTTTAACAGCGCAGCCTTTTTCCCCATAAAGTCCGTCAGCAAACAAACAGAGGTCAAGGCCATTCACAAATTATAAAAATACTATTTACCAGACCTTTATCTCTCTGGCAGGTATAATTCTGATAAGTGACTATTCTAGATAATATTTAACATAAAAGTTTATTTACCAAAAATACTTGCAATAGCCTGAAATCAGATTTTAACCAGAATCACCCACTGAAGTCAGTGAAGGTTACACATAAATGAGGATCAAGTTGCTGGGTTGTGGTTTCGGTTTAGGTTGGGTGGAGTTTTGGGGGGCTGCTACAAGTAGGGTCTAGGAAAAAAATGCTGATCCATGTGAATGGCTCAGGAACAGACAGGTATAAGAAGTCCCTAAAATACTGCCAATGTTTGATCAAAGATTCGACCATAAACCCTAAGACGTCAATGACAGTCTTTCTATTCCTTTTAACAGACTTGAGACTCTAAAATATCATGAAACACTGCTTTGAAATCTCCTTGCCCGAATGACCACAATTGAAAAATAATTATTGATAAACATGTGCAATTGATGTTAAAATGGCAAACTTTTTTAGTAATAACACCTCAAACTTAGTGAATTTGTTCCACACTGGATTACGCCAGCGGAACTGCCAGAAAGAAGCTACAGTAGGAGTATCTGCCCTTTGTTTCCACCACAACTGCTGAGAAAAGCGAGTATGTATGTGTACATACATGGGTTAATATGAAAATTAGAGGGGAAAGGCTCAGCAGAAGCTTTAGGTAAGAATAGCTAATGCAGCAGAAAGGTCAGCCTCCTCAATTTTTACTGTTGTTTCAAGCAACCATGACATTTTCCTAGACCATTTGGAAAACTGCATAACTGGCACGATCATGAGACTTAGGCTGGTACCCTGATTCAGATGAGCCATCACCTTAAAGTGAAATCTTATCTGGATTCTCAGTGTAGGTTTTCACCAGTGACATCACACAATCATAGCCAGGATCTTTTTCAAGACCACTTTGCTATTATTTATTTAGAAAACATTTCTTACAAATGTCATTCATGGAGGGCAGGATTTATGCACACAGACAGACAGGTATGATTCACCCTCTATTAAAAATTAAACATGTAAAAATCTTTCACAAACAAAGACGTGTTCTGCATGCATATTGGCAGAAGAAAAGCACTGAAAACGGAATAAGGGAACTTGGTTTTGCTTAAGAAGCTCTAGCTCCCCAAACACCACAAGTTGCAGTGTTAGAAAGAAAACTACCACCAACTAACCAAAAAAGAACCATAACTGTGGACACCTAATAAAAGTAACTGAAGGAGAAAGGAAGAAATGTTCTAGCTGACAGTGGGTACTTGGCACAGTCACTAAGGCAGCCAGGCATCTGAAATGCCTAAACGATGTTTGTTAGACACTATCAGCGAGTATAACTGACTCAAGACAGGTGATATTCTAATAGGGAAAACAGTAATTTTTTTACAGTAGTATTCTAAAGATTCATTCTCAGTGTGAAAAAGTCTTCCTCATTCCTGGTCACCCACTCCTTTTCACTGTGTAAGCTGCAAGCCAAAAGCAGTCTAAAAAAAGGGTACAATGTCGAGAGTCAAAAAAATAATGCTGCCAAAACAAGATAGATTCCATGCTGGTCATCTGTTGGCTTTATAGAACCACGTGGCCTATTTGCTCCCTTCACTTTAGTCTTTACTTCTGGCAATTTACACTGCAGGGTTTAAGTGATGCCTGAAAACAAGATGAAGACTTAGAATACTAGAAACTTAAAAATACTGCCAACTTCGAAGGGTAGAAGTTTGCATAACGTATGAGGCCCGATAGAGCTGACACATCAAGAAAAACACCCGACTGGAAGGAACAAGGATCTGGTTTGGATGTTGACTGCAGACTGTTGGGACGACCCGAAGGAAGAGAGCCCTTACAATCCCCACGCCATGCTGACGTGGGACGGCTGAGAACGCACCTCGGGATGGTGGGTCTGACAGGGTTTTAAGCTACGTGTGTTTTATCACAACACACAAACAAACTCGCACGGGATTTCCTCTGATTTAGCTGGAAGGAGGCACGGGAATTAAGAGAAAAGTAAAGATCAGTTGGAGGTTCGTTAGCAGGAATGAGCTTTTACATGTCTGACATGCTGTATTGGGTCTTTATGACCTGACAAATATCTAAGCAGGCACCTAAGCATTCAAATCTGCACTGCTAAAATGACTTCTACATGAATTCACCCTGAAACTCCTAAGGGCTTTGCACATGTCCCCGGCTGCACCTGTTAGCATAAAGCCATTGCCAAGCAGATTAAGAGCAACATGTAGTTAAATAATGGGGCTTAATTAAAAGATTTGAAATAATGACACAAGTCCTAATCTTAACTAGAGATCGGGATGCCTGAAGTGTCGCAGCCCTGCAGATCTCCATCACCTTAGAGAATTCCACACGTTCAGTAATAGCTGTGAGCACTAAAAATTTCAGGATTTCAATCCTGCAAAGCTACACTCACCTGGAGAGCTGACCGAGCTTAGAGAACAAAGATGGAAAAGTGTATTGAGCCTGATGACACAGATTATCCACTTACTGGTCTAGAGGCAAACAGATGAGAAGAACTACCATGGACTAACATCAGGTCAGAAGACTCCTTCAAAAGCCACATGAAAAACCATCATTCCAAACACAACTATTGATGACCACCACGCTCCTACCAGCATCTCCCTCTTTGTTGTGCCTGTCCCTGCAACAGGTGACAGCCCTGACTCAGATCAAGCAGCACTTATTCACACAAGAGCTCTCATGGCTGGCAGGAGCTCCTTGCCCAAATAACAGTCCTCAACCATCAAGGCAGTAAAATACTGGGTCTTTATTTTCAGGCATCCCATCAGTCTTCTGGTGAACTTTTCTTGCCATATAAATAATGCAATTTATGAATGTCTCATCGGGTAAAATAACTAGAAAAGAGTTAACTTCATCTTCCTTGATCAAGAAAGCACATTTAAGCCAGCCTGGATGATAACAGATATCCAGCTACATGCAAAGTTCATCATGAAGGTAGGATACAGCCCTTTCAAGTTGAGAAAGATGTATTAAAACCGCACTCTTTATAGACCATATTTGAAATGGCAAAAGGAAAAGTAAAGCATGGCTTGCAAAACGATGAGATTGCAGGGGTACTGGACAGATCTGAGAATAAAGTGGTAAAATTTAAAGTCTTTTCTTTTCTAACCTCCCCAAAAAAACAGATAGGCTGTTTTCCCTCCTCAGAAGCACCATTATTTTGGGTATTACGTTTTTCACCCCAACGCTATTTTTTTCAGGAATATTTAGCACCATACAAATATGGAAAACACTACGCACCCTCTTCACTCCAAGAATAAGGCAGACGTTACATTCATGGAGAGCAGCTACCTATCTCACGAGAAAAAAAAAAAGACTTGAGAAAGGTAAATGCAAATTCTGTTACTGGCTATTTTGCTGAGCTTCAGCACAACCCTTTGGTGAAGCTGTCTGACACATGAAGAGGCTATGCAACTATTCTCAGTCGTGCTGTCAGATGTGCTTAATACCTTGTAATATTGACTACGAAACCAGCTAGTTCATGAAAGTGTCCTTTATGAGACACACGAACACCTGTTTGCTGAAGAAGTAGTGCTTCCACGAATCAGGCAAGAAACACAAATTCAAACGACACTGACACATTTCTCTTCCACCAAAAGTGAGGAGATCAGTTTATCCATTTATCCCTTTCAAATGCGTCAAGTTTTAACAGCCCTCCTCCTTCTGGAGGCATTTTTCTATATATACAAACCAAATGTTCCTACAGTTAAAATACAGAAATAATATGTTGCCACAGGCTTGTAAAGTTTAGTTTTTAAACTTAACCAGTTAAAGTCTGGTGCATACTTATAACCATGCATCTCACAAAAACGGATTCCCGGCACTGTTGTTTCCTTATCCTCATCGCAACATTCCATCTGAGGTACAACATTCAAGTACCAGCTAAGAAAGAATAACCATTATAGGACACATGAGAGCAATTTTATTAAACTCTCATTATGGGAAAAACAACATTTATAGTAGTAAGAGCTCATAAACATACTAAAGCTACACTTTCAAATCTAATAACAATAGAATATAATATGTTCTTTTTAAATATTAAAGCCAGCACTTTGTTTGTATTAAAGGCAGAGCAAAATGCAGCAAGAAACCAGCAAATCTCATGACAAGGATTGAAATGCAAACAAAGAGTTATGCATCAGCTTGAGAAATACCACTGTGGTCCCCATTTTAATTTACAACTCGTTAGTTTAATGCAGGGGAAGAAGAAAAGGGGAAAAAAAAAAAATAAAATTTGCCCGCTCACCTTGACACGTTTTCTGGAATGTACTCTAGAACTGGATACCCATCACTTCTTCTGGATGCCAACTCTGAATGCGACTTCCAGGTCTCCACTAGCGTGCTGACGGGAGGGAAGGAGCTCAAGTGCTGAAACGCCTGCTCTCGAGCAACCGGCCGTGACAAAGATATAGTGCCTTGGGCGCCGATCCGGTAGTGAAATGACTGTCCACCTGAATTTACACCCACAATGGCAGAAGATGGTATACTGTTTTCTTGGTAATAGCTGCCATCGTCAGGTTCCTGCTTAATTCCCACACGTAGGCCTGGATTTGGAAAACTGCTACCTTCACAACTTCCATCAAATGAAGAAACAGGTGGTCCTAAAATCCCAGAAAGAGAGTAATAGTCTTTGTCATCCATAAAAGAAAAATACGAGCCATCTGTAAATGGGAAGGGATTTACGTTTTGATTCCCTTTAAAAGAGGCACCAGAACAAGGATGCTTGGCCGACTCTTGCTTCACTGGTACCGAAAAAGGGGAATCGGAGTTTATTTTGCTGCTGTCGCCAATGCACGCGCTGCCGAACGAACCGTCTGGCTCGGGCTTGATGAACTGCACAAGGTTCATCTGGCTGCTGTTGGAGATGGCATTCTCCATTTCCTCCATCTTAGGAAACGTGAGTTCTTGAGCACCCTTGTCTTTTGTTTCTGGACTGGGAACAGCGTCTTGGCTTCTGCCAGGTCCCGCCGGCGTGCCGGAAGCCGGGAACCCCAGGGAGTTGTTTACAGGGCTACAGATGGACGATCCCACAGTGCTGACCGCTGGGCTGGAACGAGTGGACCTGTTGTTGGCATTGGAAGGGCTGGCAATGGAACTCCTCGAGGTCAGGTTCGCAGGGCTGGACACAGAAGACCGCATCGTGATATTGTTGGGACTCGAGACGGGAGATTTCACACTGCAATGACTGGGAGGACTAGAAATTGGTGATTTCATGCTACTTATGGGGCTAGAAAGCGGAGAGCCGACATTGCTAACATGCGCGGGACTGTGCAACATGGAGCCCCGGTTCTCAACGTTCGGCGAGCGTGACAAGGGGGTTCCCTGGCCCATGGGGCTGTGCACGGCAAAGTTCCCAAAGTTAGCAGTAGTTGAGGACACGGAGTTAACCCCCGCGGGACTACACACCGAGGAAGCCATGTTCTGAGGGCTGCAGCCTGAGGGGCTTTTCTCTTGACACATGATTGGGCTTTTGACAATAGTGTGCATGGCACCACCGTTCACAGCGCTCCCAGAGTCTGACATCAGAGACCTCAGGGGCCTGCTGGCGCTGTGCAGGGGAGAAGAGCAGTGGCCGTTCTCCTTGTAGAGCTTCACCAGCTGCTCCATGTTCTGGTAGATCTTCCCCGGGCTCCCTTGGTTCTGCTGATCGTAGGGGTAATCAGCATCTCGTATCGAATCCATGTATAAACCCATGGATTCAGCCACCGTTGCTGACAGCTCCTTCGACTCTGTCTCGGTTTTGATGTCAGAGGGCAAAAGACTGGGCTGACCACTGTCTTGCTGCAGGCAGGAGAGTAGCTCGGGTTTTTCTTTGTTGCTGCCTTGAGCGCTGCTGTTTGCGAAAGTACCAGCAGCGCAGCTTACGTTTACAATCTCCATGTAGTTACCGTCATCAGTCTGCTCTCCAGCACCTATAGAAGAATACTCCACAGACTGAGAAACTTGACCCCACCGTCTCTCCATATCTAAACCTTCTGGGTAGCTGTGGTATCCTTTTGTCTCCATAACTAGCAAAGACATATACAAAAAAGGAAAATTAATAAGTGACAGGATAGTGTGACTTCCTAAGGAAATTTCCTTATTTCCTAAGGAAACAAGGCGTATCCGCTCACTCTGTCTATCCTCCTCTCTGCCTGCCTGCCAGTCCCATTTCCCTGCCTCATCCATCATCCCTCAACCATTTGTCCAATTTCAATCAAACCGAGGGAAAAGGTCTCATGGATGTGACAGCCCGAGGGGTTCCGACAGATAAACCATTCAGCTGTCAGAAAAGACCCGAATTATTGCTCCCTGCCCTGCCCCAAAAGGAATGGCTCGGCAACATCAGCACAACAACTGCCCACCCTCGCCAGCCACAGCCCTGCGGGTGCCCCATCACCCAGCGACCGGGGAGCTAAAAAGTGGGGGGGGGGGGGGGGGGTGTAGTAAGGAAGGAGTGGAACCAGAGAGGTCCTGAGAGGAGGACACGCTGGTGGTAGGCAGGGCAGAAACCCCATGGGAATTGCTCATCACAGCTCTGCTCTTCCAAGGACAGCTCTTCGCCTCCAGGCACCTTCCACTGCCACGCTACAGGGAGAGCAGAGCAAGGGACGCAGGTGTGCTGAGGGGGCTTCTCTTCATCGTCCAGCCTCACACAGGGTGCTTCAGAAGGAAGCAGCAGTTCTGAGGGGTCAGGTTCTGACTCGCCCCTCCACAGCTATACAAGCTGTTTGCAGAGCCACCCGAGGAGATGCCAAGGGTGGGCTGAGAGGGGAGAGAAGCAGTGCAAAAGTTGTACAGGGAATGTTTCTGCCACGGAGGAAGGGGATCAGATTAGGTGGGGATGCCTGGCTGTGAAATGGATCTGTAATTCTGAAAACCTCCCAGGGCAGCCAGCGAGGGGAATACATAAAGAAAAGTAAACCTTGTTCTAAACCAGACCCTAAACCCCCCCCTCCCATCCCACATGCCACTCCCTCAAGGAGCAAAATGCATGATCTAGCCACCATCGTTCTGAAAATCACATATAAGTAACAACAGGTTTTGTGGGGTTTTTCTTAAGGAATCGGCTCATAGTATCGTTAGAACTGTAGATCCTCAAGTGCCAGCAGTTACGGTATCAATATTACGTAAATATTTTTTCCTTTTAGAATTCATTAATTCTCCAATACTTAATCTACTGTTTCATCCCTTTACTTGACTCCACTGAAAAACACTATTTTAAGCGGAATTATAAAAACAAAACAAAAAGAACTTAAAATGAATAACTCAAATACTTTTTTTTGCCTTACTTAGAACTATGGCCCTATGCCTACATTTCCCTGAAGCACAAACTTTACCAGAATATCATTCTGTGCATCAAATCACATTCCTATAGCCTAAAATTTTCAGACAGAAGTGCCTACTTTCACATGAAGTCACTTGAAGATAATCACCTACCCCTGATTTAAGTGCTGAGCAAGCCTAATTCCTAGAGAAATCAATTGCAGCTGTGAGTGACCAGAATTTCTGAAAACCAGGAAACTTAGTTAAGGCTTAAAATTAGGATGTAAGTGAATTTTAACCCTCAGAATCTCTTGCAGAACCACCAGGAAATCTCAGTTACAGGCCTGACATTAACACTGGTGCGTGAGCTTCGTAGCGACCTCTCCCACAGCAGCGAATTTCAAACTTCATACATAATCAATAGGCAAGCATGCTTTAAAACTCCAGCAAATAAAAATCTGGGTCACACAAAGGAAAAAAAAAAAAAAAGAAAAAGAAAAAGAAAATGCCCTCCCGGTCCTGGGCTTCCAGAGAGAGAGAGAGGCACTGTCTGGTAAATATATCCGAAAGGAACAAAAAACTGCAGAGAGATTATTTGTGGCCTGACACAAGTTCGGTTTAATATGACAGGTATTAATTAGTGAGAATGCAGCAGCAAGGAGATTTTGGTGGGGGGAGCATTGGTTTCTGTCCCCTCCGAGCTCCTTGGTGGGTGGTAGAACCGAATAATCATCTCGCAGGCTGCCGATAGCGTAAGGCTTTGGTTTTGTTCTTCTGAGCAGAACTTATTACAACTTGACTAGCATGTTTATCCATGGTATCCACACTTCACCTACTGCACAGACATGCCTTTTTACTAACTTTCACTCAGTGAATTTGACTGCGGGCTAAATCATCTACGGACCACAACAGAAGCCGAGTCGCATTACGTATCAGCAGCAAGACAGTCTACACCTGACTTCTTCAAGACGGAAGCTTATATTAGAAGCACAGCAGTTTCTCCAAACACCCCCCCCCCCCC